TAAACGCATGAAAGTGAGCCTCATAAATATGCATACATCTAAGTCGTGGAATCGCTGGGGGAAATGGAGAGATATTAGAGTTAAGGATTGGAGGAGAAAATGTTACCGCCCACAGACAAATGAAGACACACAGAGAAGCCCTTATCTCTGCAGGCGAGGGGGGAAAATATCAAAATCAACTTGAACCAACATTATTTTTCCCTCTCTGAGAATAAATGCTGGAGGACAATTGATTTTTTTTTAAAATGTGTTTTCTTAGTTTAAAAAAATGTGACTTCCTGCTTGCGCTGGAAAAAAATGTCCATTTAAAAGTCGTCAGTTTAATTTGACATTATTATTTCTTTATACAGCTGATTACTGTGATTTAGAATTAACCAGAATTAAGTGGGGTTTCACGCCACTTGCATATTTTCACATTTCTTTTTTATTAAGACTGAATATAAATCTAATATAATTATTGCGATGTATTTGCCCCCATGCGTTTTAGAAACCCTTCCATTGATAAGACTGTGTGTGTCAGCGCAGGGCAAACACCCAGGCTGACATTTACAGCAGTTACAAAAGCATTTATGGTTCTAATCATAAAAAAGCAGCCAGGATCAAACAGGAAAAAAACCCTCAGTGGATGTGGCTGTAAAAGTGGAAATATTTTGTCAACTAGACGCCTTTTCCAAGGCCTTCACATATATTACTGCTCCGCTTCAGACTCCACTCATCTGCTCACTGAAACCTTTTAATTAGACATGATTTCTGGTTTGTTAACGCGTTGCCCTGCTGGGATCCCGCGCTGCATATTCCAGCTGAAGCAACAAGTTCCACCGAGCTGCCGGGTTTTTTTTTCCACAGAAGCTCAAAGCCAACTCCATTTCCGAACTTTCTTGTGCCTTAAAGCGCATAGAGGAGAGCGTTTGTGGGGCCTGTTATCGTGACGCACGACAGCTGCAGGTTTGGACACATCTAAAGAAAATTATCATTAGCAGGGTATCGGTTGCACTCAGGCAGTGGATGCTGCCGTGGTAAATAAAAAATAAATTAGTAGTTCTAGTTGGAAATAGTCGTCAAACAAAGGAATATTCTTTCTGAGTTTAAACCAGATATTTTCTCCCTTAAAATTGTACATAATGTATTACATTTTAAATAACCACTTTAATGTAAAGATGTGGCTAAACTGAGTTCAGATACATTCCTGCTCCAGAAACACGCAGAGGTTTGTGCACAAACAGTGTGTCCAGGTCACACTGCATTAGAAAGGTGCAGAAACATACCCGTCAACCCAGTATCTCACCTGCTGGCTCTCCCCTCGACGGTCACTTGTTCATGCAATCTCCCAAAAAAATAGCTCCAACATTTGCCCAAAACGCAGATGATTCCAAGAGAAACCCTCCTCCCGTCCGAGCTACCTTGTTTTTAACTCTGCGTAAAAGTAGATAACGGGCTCCGCTAACAAGCCACTCCTTGTCTTGTGAGTGTATGTTATCAGCGTCTCATAAACCAAGACCGGGTTAATTGATTGTCCGTTTATATTGCTGTGAAATGACGTGAGGGGGATACGTGAGTTTAACTTGGCAGAGGGAGTCAGTCCCTTTTATTTAAATCTTCCCTGCTGTGTGTGTAATTTGTAGAAACAGATCAAGAAAAAGTATATTGTTATGTATGCCGCTGAGGATTTTGATAATTATGCCCATTAATTTTTTTCCCTCAATGAAAGTTGCAGAATTAAAAAACAAATATAAACCTAAATTCGCACATGCAAGCACTGAAAGCATCTAAATGTTTGATATTATTCGTAAAGACTTAGATGAAAAAATGCATACATGAGTATAGCATCATATTTGGTGCCAGTTTTTATTTTGGTTCAACCTGATTTTGAAATTGCAATCATTTTCAGGCCATTTTTTTAAATTGCATAACAAAAAAATGTTAGGAACACAATAAAATATAAATTCATTTAGATTAATTTGTTGCACAATTGCGACCATTTTACAAAGCCTATATAGTGTTAATTAGACCAGGAATAACTGGCTTCACAGACCAAAGTTTACAGTCCCGAGGTCAAATTTTGGCAGTGGGGCAAATCACTAAAGAGACCCTCTAAATTTATGTTCCACAGTTTTGCTCTCTTTGATAAATGATCAGCAACACTGTCTTAATTTCTGTCCGCATGCAGTAAAAAAAAAATCACGATCCAATTCTGCATATTTTGCTAAGGCGAAGTGGAGTGCTTCATTCTGAAACCACAGAAATTAAAAAGTTAAATACACACATCTCAGCTGCTCTGTCTCACCGCTTTTACGCACCAGGCGTCTGCACACTTCCAGCATGAGTGACAGCTGGGTATAATCACTGTCTGATCGCCAGCCAGACCTTAGAAACGTGTGTCCAGGTTTGATCTGCATTAATGTTTTCATTATTTTATCAGAGTTAAGACAAAGAGAAAATAACAGGATCTTGTCCCCTGACCATAAATTACAAAATCTCCAAAAAAACTAATGACCTCCATATGTTTGATAATTTAACACGTTCATCACACATTAATAGTCTATATTGGCTCTATCACCACTCACTGTCCTACATTAGCGCAGAAATGTGTTGGTTATAAGCGTGTTCAAAAGTTTTGGTGACATTGAGGCACGCACTGAGGACTTCCACACCGATAACGCTCCGTAAATCTACCCAACTGGAAGCGTATCTGCCTTGTAGTCCTATACGAGATTAAAATGAATGACAGTTCTTACCTTGCATATTCCTTGGCACGCGCCCTTGTTCTCCATACGATCGAGAGAGTCCCAGGGATTCAGTCTCGACTTTGGGTAGCATGTCAGCGCTGCCGGCCTGAGCTGGAGACTCCGCACCGCTCGGCGGGACACCTGGACGTCAGAGGCGGATGTCCCCCCAAACAGACCTCAAAGTGTCCCAAATGTCTTTTTTAAACTCTTTAATTCTTACTTTCTGTCTCTGTCTTCCAATTATCGGACCATGTTCCGAATGTGAAGTCTGATTCAAACGATTCAGACTGTCTTCAAGCGACCGGGCTGCATAGCCGGTGCGTGTCTGCTCTGTTTTAACTTCACTTATTTAGTTTCTCAAAATTGCATCTGCGCACAGAAGAGTAAAAATAACCACAGACGAGTGATTCCTTCGATACTTATTAAGGAGGAGTTGCGCGCTGAGTTAGGGAATCAGTCTCCCACTCACACGAGAAAACTGCACAGCGTCCGGATTAAAAGACAATAGTAAGTTTCCCTTTAGCTTTTCCAAAAGTATTTTTTTCGCGCGTCACGCATTAAAGTGGGACCCTCAATGTAACTTTGAGCCGTTAGCAGACGAGAACGCGCCACCGGGGCCGCCCCGTCCTGTGCGTAAAGTCGGATTCGGTGTGTCGGTCGGACTGTCTGGAGATGTGGAGACCTCTCCTCCGCCTCCTCCTCCTCCTCGCGGCTTTGTTTACTCCTCTCTCTCCAATCCGGGGCGCATGCGGTCGTCTGACATCATCTCTGCCCGATCCAATCAGGCGAGGAGACCGGGAAACATCGCCTCAAACCCTCCAGTTCCATCTCTCCGAAATCTCAGCTGTTTAATCCCCGTTAATGATGGACTTTAAAAGCGCAGGGAGAACAAGGAAATCAAGCGAGGTGATGCAACTGCATGTGAGGGCAGACTCCCCATGAGCGCACGGAGCGCAAAGGCAGCGCGCGAGGTAAGTGGGTTGGGAGCGTGTTAGAACAGGAGCGTACGGCAGCACACGCACGCACGCACGCACGCACACATGCATGCGAACGGGCACGATTCAATGATGCAAAGTTGTGTTATTTTATAACATCCTTGATCTTTACATGTCGTTTGCATATATTTTATTGCAATATTTAGTTAACCTCAATTATCAGTTTTAGCACCATGTTCTCTGCTTCTGTCATAATGACCCCACTGATCATTAGAAGTCATATATAATATAGAAGTCATAATATATAATCAAATAAAAAGGTAACACCGTTCTTTCTTTCTTTCTTTCTTTCTTTCTTTCTTTCTTTCTTTCTTTCCTTAAGAGGACTATCATTATTTTATCATTTTATCACGCAGGTAAGGGGCATACAAATTTCAGCATATAAATTTAAAAAAGCAACATGCCCTCTGTAGCATCAGCAGCTTTTGGGTTTGTTTGTTCAATTTGGTGGAAAATGTGAGCAGCACCGGCCTCAGGCTCAAAACGGCCTTTACTCTTGGATCAAATCAGCCCCCTTACGCAATAAATTATACCTTTGCCTCTGAATTATTATCGGTAATTGGCTGAGCAGGGATCAATTAGCGATCTGACGTCAGGCTCGGGCTAGCCTATTCCAAATTAAATACACAAAGACAAAAAAATATATTAATTATGCGTCTACGTCCCCATAAATCCCCCCTATGCACGCGCTTCACACGGACACTTAGTTTGGCACAGTGTTACCTTATCATCGGTAGAGGGGGGACACAGAAAAGTCACACACACACACCTGAACACCTGAAGGGTCGCAGAGGGCGCGCTCCACACACACACACACACACACAAACACACACACACACACACCACAGGGAATTACATATTTTAAGGCTTTAATATCAGCCTATAGAATAATGGTATTATAGTGATATAAGAGGGAAATACAACACCGAGCACAGTTCGGGGAGCAAACCAATAGTACCTTAAATTACTTTTTTTCCCTACTGGGCTTTGTTTTCATGACAGTCTTTGAATAAATTCCTCTGCGCATTTCCATTTCTTTTTTATTGTTTCTTTCATTTGCAAGCGCAAATTTTAAATTCCAAGTGAAATATTCTACTGAATCAGTTTCGTTCAGTTTCTTTTTTCAGTACTTATGGCGCACTACCGTACTCATGTCATACCCACCCGATATAACCTGCCTATTCTTCCTAACTTTTATTGAAAATGAGGAAAAGTGCAGCCAACAATATTTAGAATTTTGGTTACAAGTCTAAAACCTCAGGCTTTGTCTGAACCCAGCCTGACCTGTTGCATTTAATTTCTACAGCATCAGTTAAATACAGTTTATTATAGATATATATGTTTACGTGTGCACAAGCTTTGGTAATCTATAAATGATGCCACAATATAATGGGAGACTGTGTTTGTCTTCTCGTTTCAAATATCCTCATATGATCCTATATGATCCTCTATTTCAGTCAGTTTAATAAAATTTGAAAGTTTGTATAACTGGGGCACCATTCTATACAAGACATCATCACTTAAATTAAATAGAAATTAATGTTTCTGTCAACATAGAATATAGTTCCCTCTCAAATTTCTTTAGTTACTCCTCACTAGAAATATCCCATGTCACCCCTGTGAAATAAATTCCTCCACACATTCATCTCTGTTCTTGCAGCAGAAGAGTCAAACAAGTGGGTTGCAAAGCATTTAATCACAATAAATTATAAAAAGAAAACAACATACTAAAGAGAATAAAATAAACTTCTGTGAACTTTTATATTAAAAACAATTGAATTATCCTCTTTATTCCAGTATCAGTAGCCACCCAATCTCCCTTCAAATTAACACACTGATACAGACTCTTTTTTATCATCATTTGCTGAGCAGCACATCAACTACAATGTTGACAGGGTGCAGAAGGTTCCACCAATCAGCAACATACTTATAATGCTCGGGTGTGATTGGTTACAGAAGGGTTACTTGCAGGCAGCAGGGGGCGGAGTCAGGGAATGACAAGGGGGAGGACAAGTAAGGGGTGGGAGGCTCAGAGTGTGTGTGTGTGTGTGTGTGTGGGGGGGGGGTGCAGGTTAGGTTATAAAATGACACAGAGGCTGATAAGACCTTCTCTGGCAAGATAGCAGTGCTGGAATGATTAACCTGTATGGAGAGAGACACATAGACAGAGAGAGGGTGCTGTGGTAAAATGTAATGAGGCACACAGGAAGAAGGGAAGGATAAAAGGCAGGTCAAAAGGTTCAAACACAAAAACACAGACAACACAGGAGCAGTATGGAGAGCACGAGGCTTTTGGTTATTCATAAATACAATCAATAATTGAAAAAACTGAATTGAAACACAAAGATTGAAAGACAGACAGACAGACAGACAGACAGAGACAGAGACACCTATAGGTTCTCAGGTGGTACTTTATTGACTTTGCGACAGTTCACTGTTTCAGGTGGTTAGAGTCACATCAAAAGAGAGGCCAAGTCACGCCGACGCGGTCACTCAAACTTTGGACTAATCGTCAGCCACGTTTCACTTCCAGGTTTGCATTTATCTGATCGGCACACACACACACACACACACACACACACACACACACACACTGCTGGCTGTAAAAACTAATAAAAACTATTATGTTTACATGCACTAGGTGATTAAAGCACAAACACATTGTCTATTATTTTAATCTAATGAGGAACTCCTATGCATTGTGTGTGAAATTGTGTGTGTGTATTATCATATGGATACCTGATGGGGACATGTGCAGCCATGCTGGTTTGTTTGCATTGAAGTCTGTGTGTGTCTGTGTGTGCTCATTTGTGTGAGTGTATATGTGCATGTATGACTGATTTGTTCTGATCAAATAACAATAGCCTTGAAATTGTAACACACACACACACACACACACACACACACAAGCATCATTAAATTATAATCAACACACACTCGCTATTCATATCCAGGAAATCACCTATCCAGCCCCCCCCGGCACACACATACACAAACAGACATACAAACACATACACACACACACCTCTGTTTTCTGTGTTGAGGACATAATGTAAACAGTCACTGGCTCTAAAAATACTGCAGGACCCTGCATGCAGAGCAACGACTCATAAAACAAAACAAAGAAGGTGACGATGTGACACAAACTAGCGTGACTGATCGAAACACAAGACAATGATAAAAGGAAGCAGCAGAGTTTTGCTTTGTAGTTTAAACTGTACAAATTAAATTAGTGGAGCAAAACGTATAATACCGTGTCTTCAATATAGTGTCTGTAAAAGTATATAACAAAACAAAATGGAAAACTTATAATGGCGTTAACTAATTTTTTGGCCACTTGGGGGCTCTGCAACAAGCTGTAAACATAACATTAACATATTGTCATGATGCAAATGTGTTGAGAAACTTTTTCATATTAACACATCCAGCGGTCTCAAAGCAACATTATCAGCCATTTTGAGTTCTGTTTCTGCCCCCCTGATGAATAGAAGTCTAATATTCACTTTCCTTTTAGCTCCTTTAACTCACCCACTCCTGAGGAAAATATCTTGACTTGATATCTTATCACTAACTATGTCTGTCTGCTGTTTGGTGCTAAGCAGGTTACATGCTGTGGGTTTATCAGAGCTGTGGCTGGTGAGGTTGATGACAGCAGAGTTTGCAGCAAAAACAAACAAGATGCTTCAGTCGTTGTGGAACAGTAGTGCTGGATAGATCTTACTAGCTCCGTTTGATCTCAGAGTAAAATAAAGAGTGCAGATTTTGTCCACTATCCTTTTTTTTTTTTTTCTTAACCATGTGGTTGACAAACAGTTAAGTTTTGCATTATAGCTATTAGCTGGTAAAGTGTAGGACTAACATAGCTCAGTTACTAACCACCCAAGTTAAAAACAAGCAGCAACCCCTGGGGACAAAAAAATGAAGCCAACGGGAAAGTGCCAAAAACTGCAGTTCTTTGAAAGGCCACTAGAGGCTGGCTCCAGAAGCAAGTCAATCTGCATAAACCCCCCTGTTAAGATACCCAACTTTACAGCAGAAATAAACATGTTTATAGCCTGGTCCAAAAAACAGTTTTGGTCTCTATGGCTAATATCCCAACACAATCTCATTTGTCACATATTGACGTTTAGTCATGGACTTTCCATGTCCACATATGATGTGCAAAGTTCCTTGGGTGCGTTGGTTGTTGACATTCTGGGACACCGTGTCAAGCTCTGCCTGTTACATGTATTGTCTTCTTTCAAAATACACTTCCATTTTCACAGGAAATTTAACGTTGATATACAGTCTCTTTCAAAATAAACATCCTACAGTACCGCAAATTGACGTTTTTTTGCCTTCAACCACAAACACAGATGGTTAGGTTTAGGAAAAAAGAACAGGGTTTGGCTTTGAATCTTACGGGACGCAAACACGGCTCTCTTGGGTGGAAGTTGGTTGTTGTACCCATCCACTACCCCTCCCGCCCACCCCAGTTGGACTTTTGCTGCCTTAAAGGGGCTATATATTAGAAATATAAAGCAAATAGTCGTAAAATCCTCCTAATATGTCACAGAGACTAAGGAATAATGTTCATATAATATACTGATCTCACCGACAACAATAGTACAGCCAGAATATTTGCATTTAAAAAACATTTTTACGGTCTGCAAATCATGTTTATGTTTTGAATTTGTGTTTTGGCCTGTTGCGCCACCCACCACCGTCTACCAGTCACATAGTCAGTAGAGTCTCAGCATCAGTTACAGTTACGACTGAGCTACAGCAGCA